CATCTGACCCAAAGCTCACTGAAGTCCATAGGAACTTCAGAGCCTTCTAAAACTAAAATAAAACAGTTACATAAGCCAGGAAACACAATACATTCCTGTAAAGTTATTAAGAAATTTTATCCTTAAAAAACCAAACAAAACAAGAAAGAAAAAAAAAAGAAAAAAGCCTTTAGAGTGGAACATACTAAACTCAGTTGCTCGTTTACCCAGTGTGATTGCTTTATGTTGCAAAATCAATCTCCAGCAAGGGTTAAAACATATGGGGAAAAGCATAAATGAACCTCATAGAGCTGACTCTTCTGCTACATATTTGCAGCTCAGCATACCATTGTGGAAATCCTGAGCCAAAAGCCTATCTAGATTTCCCTGTTTAATATTTACCAATGAAACTGTATTTCACAAAGTTGCTATACCTTTTTTTTGCTCCCACTCACAATTAAGGCCTCCACAGCATCTCATGCTCTATAGCACAAGTTTTACAATGTCCTTCTTCACTGAAAAAGAAATCCCAATTCACGTCAAACTCTGTTCTGTGACCACATCCCATATGACAAACAAACACTGTTGTTTTCTATTAAACTCTTATGCCAATTGTTCTAGTCTAGCTGCCTTCCCCTACCTACCCACCCACCCCCCGGGTTGAAGAAATTTTGTTTACTTAGGTTTTCTTCAAATGGCCACCATTCTGTGCCTCTGACCACAAAGTATGCATTACCAGAGTGGGTAGCATTCAAGATATGGGTGCACCATGGGTGCACTACAGTAGCCTTATACACTTTAAATTGGTCCTAAATTCTCCCTTTTCACAACCTCCAAAATTCTGTTTCTCTTTTTAATCCCACCAGCACGGAGATGATGTTTGCAGATTCACAATGACTCTCAAATCAAGCATCAACAGCCTCTCGTGGTATATGCACAGTCACGGCTTCACGCAGCTTCAACAATTACCATAATTTTGCATTCATCAACCCTGACTTTCATCTGAATTTATTGCCTCAATACCTACGATGGGATCTCTTTCTGTCTATAGCATAATCTCCTGTGTCTGAGCTAGACATTTTAATTCCTTTTATACCCATAATCTCTTTCCAACAGCATTTAAAATAGAACAGATAACTCACATCACTAAAATATGTACGTCTCTCAAGAAACTCTCTAAAGTGAATCTTAAGAATCAGTTCAGATATGTTTCACAATGTTAGAAAAATTCCAGTTTTGTAGTTTGAAATTCTACAATTTACAGTGACCTCTATTTTTGACAGTCGTGCATATTTACACAACGATAACTAATTCTCAGATCTAGATGGTTTATGTATGTGTTGAACAAAAGAAATTCCCAACAAATCCACTGGTAACCTCCTTTAATTAAAAAAAATTACCATTTACTCCTGCCCTCTGTTTTCTTTTTAAAGGTTGCCGTTATACTTGCCAGCTTCTGTTCCTCAGGGTGAATAAAGATAACACTCATAAGTTCACAGCTGAGCATGTCACACCTGACTTCTCTCACTTCCTCACTTAAGTGAGGACTATTCAGTTTTAGTCACTGATTATCATTCATCTCAAATTTGACTTTCATTTTAAAAGACTGGATTTCTATAAATTTGAACTAAAATTAATTTTACTGACACTTAACTTGAGACAGTTTTTCCACTTATTTCATGTAAATAACGGTTCACGCAAAACAATCACTCTGACCCCATTTATAGAGGGTATTAATGCAAATAGTTCATTAGTCTTTCTAGCATGCACTTATCTTTTCTAAATGTTCTAATTAACCCTTGATCACGTTTTTAAATACCACATTCCTGCTGGTTTCTTGCTTTCAATGAATCTAACTCCTAGTTTTTTAGTTTTTAGCAAACGCAAAATAATTACTTAAATTCCCTCAAGATAATTTTTTCCCCATTCTCATCAAAACTGCCTTCTAAGCCTGCTAGGTTCACTCTCTTTTTCATTCTCCTTACTTGGACATGAGCAGTACTTTTTAAATAATGGTTGGGTTCTTACTGTGACTTTTCTGTCAACCTCCAGAAGCTCTTTCTTCTTCTGTTCTCCCACCACTGGATTATTTTTAAATAAAAACAATCAAACAAAGTTTTATCCTGTTTTGAGAGGGTGTTCACTCCCTTAGAAGGTTTTCACCAGTGACATACATCTGCAAGCATTTTCCCCTTATGTGCTCATTTTAAACTCCCACTAAAGAGACTCTACGTTTCTTCATAATTGCTTCTTTATAGAAGTTAAATGCTACATTACATTTTATTCTTCTACATGGATAAAGAAGTTCAGTTCCCAAAGTTCACCCTCATTTGTACCAAATTTGTATTTTTAAAACAGCTACATACTGTACCAGGCCATTTCTGTACCACTTCTAGACTGATCAAGTTTTACCACTGCCCCAGAAATCCTTATAGTGCAAGTAACTAGTTCCTAGAGGAGCTGGCTACAGGTACTAGAATGCTAACCCAAGATGTTACACATACAGGATGTGTTTTTCTGTTTTCTTTAAATTCAATTATAGCTCATGCCTTTTAGCAACAGGTACAGGTGATAAAATGGAAGATGAGGAGCCACCAAAAGGAAGTAACAGGGGATATTCAGTCTAATCCCTAATTCACATAGCTATTCATAAACCAGAGAAAGATATCAGGTAAGGAGGTAGCATTAAAACCTCCAAATTGCTAAATGCCAGGAAAGTACAAGCTGCATCACTGGAAGTGTGACCTGTTCTTATTCTCTTTCTCCTATGCAGTCACTGTTGCATAGAGAATACTGGCTGAGTGAATCTCTCATATAGCTGCTCTTGCATTACGTGTCTCAGTCATCAAGAACTTCAAAAATGATCAGCATTTCGAAATTGAATAGAAAAAAAAAAGAACAGAACAAAAAATTATGAAGAAAAATTATCAGAATTTTTGCCTTTGAAGACTTACAAAACTAAATAATATAGAAATCTTTGATCTCCCTTCAAGTTTGGTAGTCTTTCTTGCATTATTAATGTCAAAATTACAAAAACTAAACCAAGGGCAGCTGAAAAACAGTTCAGGGCTCTTAGAGTCAAAAGTTATTTTCCATTTTGAAGTGAAGAAACTTGGAATCAATAAATACACCAATAGACAAACAATATTTTTCAAAAAGTTTAGAAAGTCCAAATGCAAGACAAGCAAATTACTGGATAAATACACACATTTCTCAGAAAAAAAGTCTGAATGGTCTTTTATTTGCATTTGGAAAAATACAAGCAAAAAAAATTTCTCTTTTTGAAAGCATTTCCTACTACATCTTCAGAGGGGCACTGCAAACGTTTGCTATTACCAAAACTCAGGAAGCTCAAATCAGTCTGGTTTTATTTACACATCCCTGAAAAGAGTCAAGAGCACAAAAAGCAACCCTCTAAACTGTTCAGTGGAAGCAGCCACACGAAAGCACTAAACAGAGAACAAATTGAGCACGTTAATAGTAATTTCAGAATGACATGATGATATGGATTTACAAACTCACCTTCAATGCCCATATGTGAGTTAAAGAATTTCTTTAAAATCCATTCCACTTATGTTTTAATATAGACATTCATATGCACACCCCCCAAGCACAATTTATCATGAAAGTTATCTCTCATAATGAGAATACTTAATGGAGACAAAACAACACAAGATGAAGAAGGTCCTTGAGAAAATGGCATTTCCCTCTGTTATGCTTTTTGTCATTTGATGTGGACAGTACAAAGTTTGATTGTGTCCTTAAACTTCTGTTTACTTTAAAGTGTTTGCATGACAGATATGCTGATTAATAAATGCTAACAGTTTGCACCACTGCACAAGTCATGAAGAAAATTTTTGTGTGTTTGGGTTTTTTTTAGGACAGGAAGGTAAAGAAAGAAATTAAATATTGGCAACAAGTCATGTTTGTTTAACTGGACCCCAAGGGTATTATTTTTTTTTGAGTATGTCAGGGGGATAAAATGAGAACTTCTACCAGAGGCAGCTGAATGAGAAGATGCATAAACCACACTAAGTTCAGATAATCTCTCCAGAAGAACTTCCTGCCAAAAGGTTTATGGCATCAAGCTAAATATTTTCTACTGGGCACTATCATGTCTTTTACAATTATTTTAAGTTCCATCTGATGAAGCCTAATTTTCAAAAATTAAAAAAAACAAACAAACAAACAACCCAAAACCTACTCTCCGGGATCTTGTCTGCCTCAGATAAATGGAAAAATAAAATTTTGTCTGTGATGATACTTAATTCCATGCAAACAATCTTTTTCAGAACCTGTTTGGTGATGCATAAAATATTGGGGCAGTAACATAGTAAAAATTGAAGTATGATAGAGAAACCATATGTTGTAGGTATTGGAAATCGTCTCTGTCAAACACTTGCATACCAAGTGCAAAAAGTATGCCTTATTACTCAATTTGGATGACAGAAAATAATCATTCCACTTGGGCTGCAGTATCTGTCTGTGAGTTGGCTGCTCTTAAAAGTGGAATCACTCGTGGAACCATACTGCATAAATCTGTGTAGCCTGTAAGCATGAATTATCTCATTATCCAAGTCATTCTGATGGAAATTCATGCAGTTTGCTTCAAATCTCACTGACTCTTTTAACTTCTAGATATAAGTGACATTCTAAACACAAAGAAAACTGTGCTTTTCTCTGTCACTAATCTGAGGAAAATCTGCTTTGTTGGGCATAAGTTATTAATATACAATGCACTTTAAAAGTGTTCACCTCAACCATGTCAAATTCTACAGGCAAAGGAACAATGCAAACACATCTATGAAGGAACTGAACACACCACATTTCCTGCATGTGTGCAGGTTTCCATCACTTTGATGACATCTCGAGGACCATATTACAATAGACTTGATTACTACTCAAGACAGTAAGAATTCTCAACTAAAAGCAACATACCTAGAGCACTCAGGCCTCATATTCTCCTTGATATTTCTAATAATGACATGTTTAATTAGAAATACACACACACAACACGTTACCTTTGATGCCATACGCATGAACAGCGAGTTTTGATCCTCTGCTGTCCTCATCTTCTCATTTTTGACCAAATCCTTCAGGTCCGTATTATCATCATCCTGAAAATACCGTACTCTCTCTTTATCTACATGAGTAGGGACCTGGAAACAAACATATTGAAAATAAATATTTTCCTAATGAGAAAGATCAGCTATGAAATTCAGATCCTAATAATTTCAACAAGTTTAAAGAATCATGAATCAAGCTAAGCGCATCTGAAACAACTGGGCTGACTGCTTCATTTTATCTAAGGAAAATAATATCTTCCCCTTCTTCAACTGCATCAGTATGCATAAATAAAAATGTAGCCTCTTTCCACAATCACTATATCCTTTACATCCTTAAGGTATCAGAGCTACAACATTATCACTCAGGGAAGATGTAGAGTAATTCACTGAAACAGTTAATAAGCTTAATAAGTAATTTTTATTATTGACAATTCAAAAGTTTTTGTAAAGTCACAGATACTACTGAAACACAGTAATCACAGAGTGTACTGAAAACTTGTATGAATATGGTACCTCTGTTGGGAAATGTTGCCATTTTAGACAGAGTGCACAAAAGAACAGATTTCCTTTAGCTTACAACTTAACTAAATTCTGAAGGAGCACAGGGAATGGTCATTAACACACAGCAAGATGGCATTTTCTAAAATGGAAACAACAGGAGGATGACAACAAATTCCTCGGTCTCTTATGCCTTTTGCTCCTCCATAGCAGTGCTGCAAAATGATCTGTTCTGCCAATCAAGAACAAACTTCTTGTTCCCCAAAGCACTTTCTTACAAAGATTAGGTCATAATTATTATTACCAGCAGTAGCCATTTTTTTTATTAGAAGAAAAGTAAAATTAGCCCCGAGACCTGACTATCTTGGTAAAATCTTTCTTATTTTGGAAATATTCAGCTCTGCTAATCTTCATTATTTACATAACTTTATGGAATATAAACTACTTGGCTAAGAGACTGTGATAACTTGAAAAACCTACTTTTCCATGAATGTGCATTTAAGTAAGCTGTAAAGTGATCCCTAGGGAAATACAATCTGAAAATAAACTTAATATATGCTTAATAAACATGTACTCTAGCACTTAATTACAATCATCTTCTGAAAGAAACATTTTAGCTACCTATTGACATTCTGATAAGACACTCATTAATTATGACATCACCAAAGTAAAACTGCAAAATTATTTAATAATTACACTTTAATACTCACACTTGTAAAACTTACCATCTGTCGCTTTCTCCGTCCTCCTTTTGCCTCTTTTGGCTCAGCTGGTCCAGTCACAGGCCATGCCATTCCACTCTCATCTGTTCTGACAAGGACCACTTGTTCATCTTCTTGACGGCTTGAAGCCTGTGTCAGGTTTTAAGGCATATTTTAAAACAGATGGCACAGACAAACCACATTAAATAAATGTTTAAAATACTAAATATTAAATAACAGATTCTTCACATTTTGTGTGTTCATTGTAATTCAAAGCAGACAGCATTACCTTAAAAAGGTATTCTTTTTCACATTTAAAAAGTACAAAATATTAAAAATATATTCAGTTAGTTAAGTGCAGAGTTAATAAATACTTTCCAAAGAACCAAGCTTGTATTCTTTAGTTTTTTCTCTTACACTTCATCCCCAGAATACAATGCATATGAAGACTGAAACAGATAATATTGAATTGATATACCACACCATCTTTATAAGAGTGTATTCCCGAAAACCATCTGAAAAGGAGTTTTTCTGTGTTTAATGGTTTTTTTCATTTCAAAACTTTGCTAATAAACTAGCCAAAACCTTAGCTATTGGTTTTCAACACATTCCATCAGATCACACTTTTGTTTCCTGTCATTGTTAACACACTGTAATACTGAGATTTTTTAAATCTTGATTGTAGGATATGCAAAATAGGAAATACAAAGAGCTCAACACAAGTGTCTCTCTCTATGGTGATGAAGAAACAGATAAATAGATGTACATTTATTATTTAGGTCAAGTTAAATTGTAGCCTGAGGCAGAAATGACAACATTTAAATCATCTGTTTGTGTGCCAAAATATATGGAAACAATAACAAGCATTCACCTGACCTATGTCAAATAAGTAATTTGCTTTTGGATGGTAAACTCATTCAATCTCACATAAATTGCACATGTATTTAATTACAGCATCTACATACCAAAAGAAACTTGGAAATCATGAGCAGGGTAGCTTCTAAACTTAAACCAAACTCTTGAGGTGCTGGAGATGTGAGGTAAGAGGCACACATAAGACAGGGCAACAAGGGAAGCTTTCACACATTTACCCTTGATCCTCAGGGTGGAATAGAACTACCAGTTCATCTGCTGGAAGAGCAACTCAGTAGGGCACAAGCAGTACAGATTTCAAAAGCACTGAGGACAAATGCCAAACAAATTAACTAAGAGTGCTCTTCTGAATTTTCTACTCATAAATTTAAAAAAAAATAGCCTAATCAGGGATGTGGAAGTCAGTCACTCCTTTGGCTACAGCAACAAGATAGTGGAGCTTAAGATTCTAAGGAAAGTGAGTAAGGCAAGAAACAGAACAAAGGAAGAATAATCCTGGATTATAGAAAAACGGACTTCAACTTATTCAGGGATCTGCTTGGCTGGATTTCATGAGCAATGGTCATCAATGTCAAGCTGTCAGAAAAAGCTGGTTGATCTTCAAGGAAAACCCCCACAGAGGATGAGAAGGGACATTTCATCTGCTATCCCCACTTGGCTAAATGGGGAACTTCAGACAAAACTCAGAAAGCAATAAGGAAGCTTACACAAGGTGAAATCTGAGAAGTTACCCAGGAGGACCCCAGAAGCACTTTCCAGGCATACAGGCATAGAATAGAAACCACAGCTGAAGACGAAACTAGCAAGAGATGGAAAAAAACAAAAAGGGATTCTATGAGCATACTGGATATTCACCTACAAGCAAGGACAACAGAGCTCTGCTGTTGAGAGAGGAAAGGCCATGGAAGAGGTTAAGAGACTCAATATCTTTGCCAGTCCTTACCAGCAAAGTCTGCCCTTGGGCTTCTCAGGCCTCAGTGCCTCCCAGTAGAGCTTGGAGGACAGAAGTACACCTGACAGAAGGATCAACTTGAGGCCCAGGTAAGCAACTTGAAATGTGCCAGCTTAGGGAGCTAGATGGGATGCATATATCACATGGGAAAAGAGGTCTCTCCCAATCACATCTGAGGAGTAGCAGTGGATGCTCTTGGAAAAAGGTGAATGTATACAGTCATCTTCAAAAAAGTAAAGAAACACCTGGGGAACAGAATGACCACCTTCACCCCAGTCACACAAAATATTACAGAACCAGTTCTCATGGAAGGCCCTTCATAGGGCCCCCATTTCACAGAAGTGTTCTCAAACTTACCTAAAGATATATATATACACACACATATGAAGAAAAGGTAGAAATTCTGCACCAGAAAAGTATTTAATTTTCTAAAATATTAAGAATAATTAAAAAAATATTTTTAAAGCCTGAGAACTTCCTGATTACTCTCCAAAGATGTTTAGTTAAATCAGATGATCAAATTAGAGCACATAATGGGGTCACTACTAAATCTGATGATATTAGGACAGCCTTTGTCAACTCTTATAAACAACTGCATTAATCTCAATTTGAAGCTATTTTCTACCAGACTGCTTTATACCTGCCATCTTTGACTAAGCAAAGCTTATCCCAGAAACCCAAATAAAGTCTGAAAAATCTGTAGATACTGAAGTATGATAGTTTCAATGGTTTAATTACATTTTTCCAAGAAAAATCTATCTTTCCAAGCTGACGAAGGTAGAACTTATGGACCAAAAAGCTGCCTAGGTAAGCCAAAGTTCTCTCTTCAGTTTGGAAGCTGAAGACATAACCACAGATATTGCAGTGAAAACTCAAAAATCCAGAGCATTGCTAATTAGTTTGAAATGAAACAGATCTTTCTAGAGGAAAAACACCACCTTGTCCCAAACCTACAATGCCCACGTGGCCAAACAGGGATCCAGCAGCTCTCCCAAGAGGACTGGTCAAATCCACACATGGGGCAGCAGGTAACAGGAGTTCAATGAGTGGAAAGACATGCCTGAGTGAGGACTTCACATACACAGGATCCCTCAGAAATGGTTACTTGTTAGATTATTCACCAATAGACATTACAACAGCAGTGCTTCAACAACGACAAAGAACAGTAAATATCAGATTCTTAAGTCAACTTACAAGCATCTAATTCCTTTTAAAGTCATCCAACACAAGATTTGTCTTCACTAAAATTCTTAAAATACAGACGTTTCAAAAAGGAATGTGCAAGCTGTTAGTTTCCAAAAATCAATGGAATTCACAAGGTGTTCTACATGTCGGACTTTTTTATCTGCCTTTGAAGACAGGCTCCAAAACATTAGATCCTAACAATATCTGATTTTCCATTTTTTCTTCTCATTTCTACATGCCAACACACTAACATAAAGGCAGTAGAAGAGTATTTTCTGGATCTGAACCACAGAATGAGTGGAGACAGAAATAGGAGTGGGGTAGGGGGCAGTAGATATAACACATACTGAATTCTTTGCGTCAGAACTCTACAGCTGGCAAGGTATTTTGTATTTTATGGGGCTTGGGGGTTTTTTCCCCCTAATTTCAAAGACTCCTGAGTCCTGACACAAAGCATGCAATACTGACCATAACATATTCAGATTTAATTTTCCAGAGAAAAGGAAAAAAATTAATTTTTAGCTTTAGAATACAAAGTATGAAAAAATAGAAGTTGTCCATCAAAGAGAAATTAAAAGGAGCAGACAAAAGGATCAACTAATTACGGACAGAATGAAAACAAAGTGCAGTCTTATTAGAGACTAATAGTTTAGCATACTAGGAACTGAGATGAATCCAACGGATCCATGACAGGCATGATTATTCAGAAAATTAAAGATGTTATTAGAGGTAAAGACATCCTTCAGAAGTCAGAATCCTGTCTAAATAGAACTGAATTAAAAACACAACATAACAACAGACACTAATTATATTAACATAAAAAGGTAAGGCAAAATTTGATTTTTAGGAGGATCTTACTAACAATAATTACTAAAGCTATTTCTAAACACATCAGAAGCAGAAAGCTTTCTGGTAGAAAACAAAAGACGTTCAAATAGTTATAGCATTATCAGATGAAATTTTAATAATAAATTAATTATTTGCATTCTAAACATAAGACTTTTCTATTCAACAACCTTTAAAAAAAATAAATAAACAGAATAAACTTTATAAATCATCTTTAAACTGAAATATCAGTAAAAGGAGTTCTCAAGCAAGCTGCCATGAAGCAATGATTTTCACCAGGGCTCCCATAAATGAATTCCAATATATAATGTCCACATTCTTCCACATGCATTACATCCTTTAAATAGGTCTCAGTACAAAAATAATGGAAAGTGACAAATCCGATACAAACCCTTAAAAATGTGCCAAAGGCTGATTTTGGGAATTCAAGGGCAATGTAATGGACAAGCTCACACAAGTATAATAAAAACCCAAATTCCTCTACACTTGAACAAATACGGCATACTGTGACAGAGCCTTTGCAGGAAAAAAGCCATGACTCACAGAAGTAACAGACTTTTCTGAAGGATGTAAAGGAGTGTGGATACCAATCTAACTGCAAAAGTTACTTACTGCTCTCATTTTATCTGTTGATATTTTCTTTACACATTTCTATATTTGCATTCCTATGAGTATATGACATGGTATATGGTAACTAACACCTATATGGTGATTGTGAAATAATAATTACTCTTTCATAATTATCATCAGATAAATAATACCTCTATTAATATAAATATAACATAGCTTTAAAAATATATATTAAAGTACTTGAAATATGATACATGTTGTTAAATGTTAAAGTTGAAACTGGAGAAGAGGCTTAGCCACTATCCTTGAATCTTATGATGACTGTTAAACTAACAATATAATTTACAGTCTGAAATGAACATTGTTGCCATTAATTAAGGAACATGAATTTTTACTTCAGGCCAATTAAATATGTAAAGTACACAGTTGTTCTCACCAAATGTACAAACCACTATAGAGCAATTAACACCCAACCGAACAAAACAAAGACAGCAAGTCTGGTTTTGAAAGATAAAAGCTTTAAATTAAATACATAAATAAATAAAATGCAGTTCTGAAAAAGATTTTTGAACTCTCCAGAGATGCTGCCTGTTCCATAATCCAGCAGGACGAAGTAGAAAAGCTCTGCCACACTAGGTGTATAGCTTAATTTGAGACACTGGAGTAGATGAACAAAGGGAGTAATCAGGCCAAACATCTCAGATAGGATCTACTCAATTAGAAC